TGGCATATGTTTCTAGGTGTTACACTTGGTTGGTTTTAAAACAAAAGACTAAACTTAATGAACTACAAAACTTTCTTCCTTTATTCATGGGTGGGTCTCTGCGATACGTAATCAAGAAAGGAATTTGAGTCCTGTCCCATCCCATGGTTAGAAATCAAGACAGGGCTCGCCTTTATCGTCATGGGAGCTCTTTTTGTTGCCCTACAAATTAATAATAATAAAGTAATCGTAATAACAACAACAACAGCAGCAGCAGCAGCTAGCATGGACAGAGTACTCTGTATGTTCACAATCAGTGAACCACCTGTGTCATGAGGGGTGAAACAGGGCAAGTCTACACGTCCCTGAGAGCCCTTTTCTTTTCCCGGAATGCTCAGGCTCCTCATTTAGAAATGCAACTACCTAGAAAGCCTAGGCATGAGGCAGTCTACCTTCATTCCCCATCGGTGCCTCTTTCTATGCGAGTGTCTCTTCTTTCTGAACTAAGCCAAGGTTACAAACTCTAAGGACCAACTAAGTAGCATTCGGAGTGGGTTACGTGGAGTGGGCAAGACATGGGAGGGCAGGGTAGTGGGCAGGGTGTGGAGGTGGCACGCTGCAGCCTGGGAGAGTAGTTGTCCTGAGTAGAGTGGTCTTCTTGGGGACAGGGGTAAGAAGAGCCCCTTTAGCAGTAAATGGGCTACGGAGTGAAGTTTTTTACGCATGTCATTTCACACAGATGATAGTCTTCTGTACTGAATGAAAGCCTGTGAATAGAGGGGATTTTACCAGTAGTGTACATATCCACCTGCCAAACAGATGGAGATCTGAGGAGACTGAACTGGCCTAAACATGGGCAGAGCGGGGCTGTGGACGACAGGCTCATGAGTATGGGCAAACCAGATGTACACAGAGTTCTACTTAAAAACGATCAAACAGAAATAAAGAAATCTGGACTCTAAAAGACACTGCCGAGGAAGAAAGAGAGCAGCAATTCCCTGAAGACTGAAAAAGAGAATAGATCTCACAAAATGATATGCTACAAGAAGGAAATTTTAGAAAAAGGTTTGCATCCTTAATAGGAAACAAGATGGTCTTAGCTCCATGAAAGCCGAGAGCTGTAGGTCCAGGACCGATTGAGATGGAGAGACAACAGAGTGAGAAAGATAAGTGGACAGTAGAGAGGGTTACAAGTAAACACGCCCCCCCACACACACACACACAAAAAGGGGCAAAATTTAAATCTGTATTTTAAGTTTCAAAGAGCAGACTTTAGATGATAGAAATAAAAATATGGGGGATAAGCTTCAGAAACTCTCCCAGAATGCACAGGTAAAGGTCAAAGAGAGAAAACTGTAAGGCGGCTTTGCAATGCAAATACTTGAGACTGGATTAGAGTTAATGCCTGTGAGAATGCATTGTCTGTTTATACAATCACTATGAATTTGTTAGGTCCTTCTCAGAGACAGAGGAATTAAAACCAGTTGTTTTCTCCTGGTTGCAACTTCCCAAAGTCCTCTCCTGTACCCGTTTTTCCTTGCACCTCCAAATGAAATGCAGAATAATAAAGGGGGAAGAAAAAACACCAGGAAGTACCCTGAGCCTAGAAAGCAAATTTTCAAACTGTCTTTATTTCAAAGGCCTAGGTCTGTCCTCGAAAGTCTAACCAATATGTTTACATATGTTGAGGGCAATGCGGTATTTAACCTTTGGAATGCATGCTAGTTTGAAAATGGATTACCAAAACCCGAAATACACTTCCTAATCCTACCTCTTGTTCAGCAGAGCAATAATAAGAAAAATATTTGGGAGGAAGAATCGGTTTCAGGAAACCCTTCTCTGGTAATCTTGAGAAGCAGCCACAGTGGGAGGCAGGGCAGATAACAATTCCAGGTTGTACACGGTTTCATAATTGTGAATGCAAAGGCTAAAATGATGCCGAATGCAGGCTGGCTGCCTTGAACTGTCTCCAAGGCCACAGTATCTCCTCAATGACTTATTTTCACATAACATGAAGAAGGAGAGGCTCCTTGGAGACAAACACACCTTGCCCACCAAATCATCCCTCCCACAGGCCTGTCCACCCTGTTGATAGGCCTGGGCAGAATTTGTTGAGATAATAAACAATCCTCCATCTCAGACTATATGAATCTCTACAGTGCTTTACTCCATGGGAGCAGGGACAGGCCTCTACCCTCTCCTTGCTTCTATTGGCTGGGACAGAGCAGAACAGACCCACACGTCCACGCTCTGACACAAGTACAGGAGCTGTAAATCTGAATTTCTCAAGTGTTATGAAACAATGTTGGGATTGTTTGAATGGCTGATAAAGAGAAGAAAAATCCCTTCCTCCTTTTCTTGAGGTAGAAGTTCATTTAGTCTGCCTCCTCTGACAGAAATCTCGAATTCTCCCCTGGCTGCATCTGTAACAGGGTTCCTTATCAGTTATGCCAAGCCCTTTATAAAAGTGGAAATGAGACACTTTATAGTCCAGATATTATAAAAAATAAGTCCCAACACTGTGTTATCAATCATGCACCCAACAACGCATGCACACTCCAATAATACACGTAATGATAACATAATTGGGGAGAAGTAGCCTATAAGAACTAGACTACTAACCACTTGACTATATTCAAAAAGATACTTTTTTTGTACAAATAGTTTAATCTTGAGTAATATTAATAGAAAATAACATCTAAAAATATTATATTCTTATTTGGAGAATACAGAAACACTACATTTTTCAAACAAAAAATTATTTGATAGTCCTGGCCAGTGTGGCTCAGTTGGTTGGAGCATTGTCCCATGCACCAGAAGGTTGCCAGTTTGATTCCCGATCAGGGCATATACCTAGGTTATGGGTTTGATCCCTGGTCGGGGCACATACAGGAGGCAACCAGTTGATGCATCTCTTTCACATGCAAGTTCCAGCCTCTCTCTCTTTCTCTTTCCCTTCTTCTCCCTCTTTTTCCCTTTTTAAAATCAATTTTTTTTAAAAAAAGAACATCATTTCATAGAAAACTTATCTAGGAATATATTTTAAGAGTAAGATTGGGAGATGCGGGAAGAGACTTGACAAAAATTGTGCACCTAGGGATGAGGACAGTGGGGGGGTAAGGACAGAGGGTGGGATGGGAACTGGGTGGAGGGGAGCTATGGGGGGAAAAAAAGAGGAACAAATGTAATAATCTGAACAATAAAGATTTACTAAAAAAAAAGAGTAAGATTAATAAGGGAACTGAATAATATTATATAGATTTTCATGCTTGTAAAGAGAAAAAAATGTGGTCTTCATATGAAAATTTATTTTTTAATAATTTAACCAAGAAGCAGGTAAAAAGCTTAATAAAATTTTACTTTTTCTCTTTCAAAAAACATTTGCCTTCCATGGTCACAAAAATTTACTGCAAACTTTCTTAGTAAGAAATAATCTAAATTATATTCTCATGGGTAGTAGAAAGCAAAGGAGTAAACCTTAGTGCATATAATTCCTGGCTGGTTCTGGCCGCTATGTCCTCCTTACATATGGAATATATTGAGTATTTCAAAAGTGCAGAAAATAAACAGAAAGAGGAGCGAACTTTCTATAAACATGTTGATAAAATAGAGAAAAATAAAATGATCACTTTGTGCTTTTCTAACTTTGCACATCCTTTTCAGGAGCTATTTAGCAAGTTGGAATGAAACAATTTCTATTGAATGAAGGTGAGTACACCTATTGAGATTTAAAAGGTAAAAAGCAGCAAAAGGGAGGCAAGTCCAGTGCCCTTTTGAAGGACAGCACTCTCTCATGACCTTCCCATGGAGAAGCAGGCCAGTGCTGACGGTGCACACAATGGCGCATCGTCACTGAAAGGAGACACTCACAGGCTCACAGAAAACCCATCTCAAAGCGGGGAGGTTTGGTTTTACTAGCATTTCCACAGAATCACTCCAAGTAAAAATAGTTCTTTCTCTCTTCCTTTTGTTTAGGAACTTGAATGACTGGTTAATCCAGGCCATCACTGTCCTCCTTTCACGGTGCACTCTAATTTTAAAAAGATTTCCTCACGTGAAATCTAAAGAACAATATAAACAAACAAAATGGAAGCAGACTCAGATACAGAGAACAGACTGACGGCTGCAGAGGGGAGGGGAGTTGGGGGCTGCGTGAAAAAGGTGAAAGGATTGAGAAGTACAGATTGGCAGCTACAAAACAGTCACTGGGATGTGAAGTACAGCATAAGGAATACAGTCAATAATATTGTATTGATTATGTATGGTGCCAGGCGGGTACTTGAAATATCGGGGGGATCACTTTGTAAAATATATATAATGGTCTCACCACCATGCTGTACACCTGAAACTAATGCAAAATAATATTGCATTATTTTCAGAATGCAAACTATATAGTTTTCAGAATGTAAACTACAACTGAAAAATAAAATAAAATAAAGAGATTTCCTTTTCCGCTGCAGCATTTGGTTTCCCCTTCTCAATCTGCCATGTTTACAACAGAACATTTAAGATTCACCAATTCCTATGGGAAAAACACCCTAAATAATTTAGTTCTTTTTCTAAAGGTTCTTTCTCCAGGAGCATTTACTTTATTGTTAATTCTCACATGAGGATATTTTTTCCCCACTGCTTTTCAGAGAGAGTGAAGGGACAGAGGGAGGGAGAGGGAGAAAGAGAGAGAGAAACGTCGATGTGAGAGAGACAAATCCACTGGTAGCCTACTGCATGCACCACAGTCAAGAGCAAGGAGTGAACCCGTAACCCAGGTACGTGCCCTTGACTGGGAATCGAACCTGTGACCTTTTGGTGTGTGGGCCAACACTCTAACCAATGAGCAACACAAGCCAGGGCAAGCATTTTATTTTTTAATTATTTCCATTTATATTCTTGAATTAAATTTAGTTAAAACTAAATTTGGCAATATACCACTAGGAACTCTTTGCTACCTCATTATTTCTTTCAAGGAAGAATTCGCAATTTAAAAGCAAGAGAAAATGAAAACCCAGTATTGTGGAAATTACCTCATCTGCTCCTTTCTTTTCTCCTGACCTGGAAGGCGATCCACTGTCTTTTTCATAGACATGCTGTAAAAAAAAAAAAAAAAAGATAATGTTTAATAGAGGGAGGTGATACAAGATAATATAATAGTGACTTTAATCCCAAAGGGCTAAATATATAGACTGTTAAGAACAAGGACCCCTTTAATCTTCCTCCTAGGAATGTTGATAATTCTATACCCACTGACGTGGGTGGTTTCAAAACTCAAGGGAACTACAGACATGCATTTGGGGTGTAGAAAGTCAGTCTGTAATTAACCAGACACAGACTGATAACAATGCTAAGGTGTCATCTCATCTCCTACAAAATGACAAATTGCAGTGTGGGAGATGTCTGGTTCCTGAGGGAGATGAGATGTCTGAGGGTCACGCTGAGGGTAAAGCCATACCTGAGCCTCAGTCAGCATGGACAGGAGGGAGGACCAGGTCTTCCCAGTCAACCATCACTTCGATGGCTCTTAAAGTTCCCTACAGCTCTTCTAAGTATTCACCAGTTCAGAGAGAAAAACCCTGAAGTGGCAAGACCACACCTGCAACTTCCACTCACTATGGCTTTAAAAGTTCATAATATCCAGAAACAGAATTATTTTTCTCACTAGAACACTGGGGGTGAATGCAAGTATTTGTATGTGGTACATAAAAGTTTCAAGTAGCTTACAGGCTCATTTGTTTTGATGCTAAGGTAAAATAATTTTGAAAACTGAAAATTGCATATTCCTGAAAAAAGAGTACAAAGAATTATTTCATTTTTGCACACTGTGGGATGTTCAAAAAAGTGAGAAAAGGAGGCCTAAATATTTTTTTTAAAAAAAGCTCCTCATTGTGTTCAATCACAATTACCTTCAGTTCAACCAAAGTTTAAAATTCTATTACATTCTCTAGAGCAGAATCATAACATGATATGTAATTGAAATTCGTCCTATTAAGAAGAGTTGCAATAGTAATAATAATTATATCATTCTTTATTATTTACATGGCACTTTCATATACATTCTTATGTGACAATAAAAGAGGCTCATATGATTTTGTGGATAAAATACTAAGAATAAGAGTCAATTGCTGTGTTTTTCACAAGGACAGAACCTAACAAATGGGAAAAAGCAAGTCTTCTCACTTAAAATCTGTTGTTTGTCATTATACAAACAAGATAGAATACTATTCCCTTAAATCATATCAACAGATAGTTTAGTAAAATTAAAAAAGAAAGGCCAAGGAATGCCCAACACATGGGCATTTTTGTATGAAAGAGTATGAAGAAATCACTTTGATGAATGGAAAGTTCTTCCCCATATGACAAGCTCTCATGAGCTGGTGAGTGGAATCCACAGAAAAGCAGGCTGCTGCCCTAGCCTGTGAATGAAGCCCTGTAGACAGGGCTCGTCTTACCCACATGTCCTAGTCAGGAGTTTGCTTGTCCACAGTTGAGAGCAATCAGTAGTGAGTAGTTAATCAATCTTGGGGGGAAGACACCATTTAAACGCCCATATGCACCACGGTGGGAATTGGTAAGTTTTAGAATAAAGATCCCTAAAGGCCAGACTAGGGGGAAGAATTCTTCGGCACTTGGAGACAGAATTCGAGAGGGACAGATAGAAATTTACTCAGTCTGTCTCCTTCCAGAACTGGTCATTTAGAGCTATGATATCATATTCATTTATGATCTCCAATTCCATGTCTTTGTCAGATTAGATATAGGTAATAACACAACAGTATCCACTATTTTACTGAACACACTGCCTAGAGCGTCTCATTTACTTGCCAGGAGGTATTATTATTCCATTTTACAAATAAAGAGGCAGTTTGCTCTAGTCAGTGCAAGGTTCCATGTTCTCCAGAAGGGCTCGATCTGCTTTCTACTCATGTAGCAAATATATGTTATGACTTATTACCCCACAGTAAATGTACAGCTTTTTCTCTCTATTGGTATTCAGATATTTTTCTTTAGAAATTTTTAAAAAGTTGTTTCCTGATGGTGTTTTAAAGTTGCAGTTCTCCAGGTTAAGCAATAATATTAGTTACATGCTTTCATTGAAATGCTCAAAATTATTCAAAATAATGTTGGTTCTAAATACATATATAACAAATATTTTTTAAATGTTAAGTTATAATGACAACTTATAAAACTTATGGATTTTAAGAATTGGTATTTTGTCATTTCAAAAGAAATATTTGCTCTCAATAGGAAGCTTTTTTATAATATTCAAAAGCATAATGACAAATAAAAATCACATAAACAAGTGGCAAAAATTTTAGGAACTGTATGTATGGTATTTTTCCATTTTCTACTTTTTTAACCTAGCTTTTTGTTATAAAACTAGAGGCCCAGTGCACGGATTCATGCACATTGCAAAGAAGTTAATCAGAGGAAATATTTTAATATCACTATTTGCCCTTTCTCTATAATATAATAGTGTCAACCAAATTCACGATCGACAATGACAGATTGAAACACACGCATGCGATTGGCGCAGCCAGAGCTTTATATGTATCGCACGTGCATGAGTCAACTTAGCCTATTATATACATACATAGAATAAACTTGCTTAATTAGACCTCCTTTCTGATTTACTAAACTTTTTCCAGCCCAGTGAAGCACCCCAACTTCTCTTTCAGTTAATTGTCAGTAACACAGCAGTAAGAATCAACACAAGGCAGATTATTATTGTAGATCACACAGAGAGAACAAAGGGTAAAATATTTAACTGCAGCAGTGTTTGACTATATTCTGCGCAGTGAGAAAACCTGAAGTCATTTTCAAGGTCCACCATTTCTTACTTCTTTTCAGTCAGGTCAAGTTTCTAAACTTTCTAAATCTCCACTTTCTGGCTAATGAAAAGAAAATAGGATTCTACTGAGTCTCCTATCTACCTACTCCAGGACTTCTGTGGGGATCAAATGAGATGAGGTATGGGAAAATGCTTAACAGACATTTGGTCAAACTGTAAAATGTTTGTACCTGGCTATAAAGCAAGCCATGTTCCTGGGCTGAAGGAACTCCAAGGAGGCCAGTCGCCAGGTAGAGGAAGCCAGGTGTTGCTACGTAATGTGCGCCATGGGGTCTCAGCAGCATTGGCTGTGATTTGGTGGGGTATCACTCCGGGGTGGTGGGGGGGTCTGTGTCCCACTTGGGGGAAGCTGAATGTTACTTTGTTGGTGCCAGGTCTGCAGTGACATTTCTTTGTAAATGGCCAGTGCGCGTCACGTCAGCTCCTGTGCTGAGCATCTGCTCCCTGGTGGTCAGTGCGTGTCATAGTGACCGGTCGGACGGTCGGAGGGACTTAGCATATTAGCCTTTTATATATAGATTTTGGTAACATACAAAAGGTTGAAAGAATACACTAAATGCCAATATTCCCACCACTTAGATTCAACAACTATTAATGCAGATCTATGTATCTGTCATATATTATAGACAGATACATAAATCTATTTATCTATGTTTGTATATGTACCTATATTTGAAAGTAAATTGGAAATATCCTGAAACTTTACCCCTAAATATTTCACCATGCATCTCCTTAAATTGAGGACTTTTCCCATATAACTCCACCATCGTCGCTTTAAGAGAATTAACAAGAATTATTAATGCCATTCAATTTCCAGTAAATAACAACTTTCTGAATGAACCATTGCCCTGACCCTTTTCTGAGGCTCATTCAACACTCAGCATTCAATTAATGACATAAAATCAATTATATCTTTTTACTGAGAGAGTGTATAAGTGCCTAATGTTTTAATTCAAGGAATAATTGAGCACTTTTGACATAATTGAGATGGTGAAATGAAATATTTGGGAAATATGTCAAATCTTATCCAGTTTAGGAATCTGCAGGAAGACTTTCTAAGAACAAAGAGAGAAAACTTTGTCTGCTACTACTATGTGAGGCTGGTGAGATGGGGAGAGGTGATGAGCATGAGAAGGGAAGGAGAGAGAGGTCAGGGAAGAGAATCAAACCACAAACCCGATAAATCCAAGCAGTTTTCCATGAGGAAAAAGAAACTAACATGTGCTAAGCATCTACTAAAAAGAATAGAGGATCTGTCTATTCCTAGGTTTCTTAATTTTTTTGTTGCAATGGTTAATGGGATTTTTTTTAGTTTCTCTTTCTGTGAGCTCATTTTGTTGTATAAAAATGCCAAAGATTTCTGAGTGTTAATTTTGTATCATGCTATTTGCCGAATTCATTTATTAAATCTAGAAGTCTTTCTTTGGAGTCTTTAGGGTTTTCTATGTACAATTCATGTCATCTACAAATAATGACAGTTTTATTTCTTCTTTTCAAATTTGGATAGCTTTTATTTCTTCTTCTTGTCTGATCGCTATGGCTAGCACTTCCAATACTATGTCGAACAGGAATGGTGAAAGTGGGCATGCCTGTCTTGTTCGTGTTCTTAGGGGAAATGGTCTTAGTATTTGCCTATTGAGTATTATGTAGGCTATAGGTTTGTCATATAAGGCTTTTATTATGTTAAGGTATGGTCCCTTTATTCCCACTTTGCTGAGAGTTTTTATCAAAAAAAGGGTGTTGAATTTTGTCAAATGCTTTTTCTGCATCAATTGATATGATCATGTGGTTTTTGTCTTTCAATTTGTTTATGTGAAGTATCACATTTACTGATTTGCAGATATTGTGCCATCGTTGCATCCCCGGAATAAACCCCACTTGTTCATGGTGTGTGACCTTTTTAATGTTAAGGAGGTAAAAGACCTGTATGCAGAAGACTACAGAACATTGAAAAAAGAGATAGAGAAAGATATAAACAAGTGGAAGAATATACCGTGTTCATGGATTGCTAGAAACAACATCATTAAAATGTCCGTACTACCCAAAGCAATCTATAGATTCAATGCAATCCCATTAAAATACCAAGGGCATATTTCACAGAGCTAGAACAAACTCTTCAAAAATTTATATGGAATAAAAAAAGACCCTAAATAGCCATAGCAATTCTGAGAAAGAAGAACAAAGTTGAAGGGATTACAGTACCAGATATCAAGCTATACTACAAAGCCACTGTTCTCAAAA